ATATTTATTTCGTAATTTGATATTGATTTATAAATTTGCTTTTATCTTTTCTATTTGAAAGAAGGTATTCATTACTTGGTTGCCAAAATAAACTTAAATAAAATACACATATGATTTAAATTTCGATAAAATTTTTATTTCAATTAACTGTTATTTGATGGCAGACTCAATATTATTTAAATATTCTACTTGAGTCATAATACATTTTTCCTTTTCCAGAAATTTTTGGGCAGTTATCTACGAACTGCTGGTGAACTGGCAAAAACTTAGCAATTACTTGATCGATCTTCCTTTTCAAAGTAATCGTAAGTTTTAAGATTATCCGCTTAAACATGAGCTCTAGCGTAAGTGCACAAGAGCTCATGAGTGCGGAACGAAGCCAAGACACGTCGTATTGTGTTATTAGTAGTACCTTTTTACTATTATTTTTACTATTATCTTTCACGTCCACTTAAGCATATCTTCTAAATGCTTAAATTGTAAAAGGAATGGACTAGTTGCTTAGAATATATTAGTATACCACAATTACAAATAGACAGAACCGTAATTATCATAGTCAAAAAAGTACTAGCAGGTAACAAAAAAAAAAATTGTAATACAGTATATAATATATATAAAAGTATGAATTCCGGGGCATGCTGGTATACAAGGTAATGAAGTAACAGATAAATTCGCAAGAAGAAACGCCGCTTCAATAATTATAAGCCAAAAAGTTTTCTGTGGTCTAGGCAAAAACGAACTCTATTCCTTCTTATGAACTGCGCAAAGGAAGAGGAAAGAAAACTATTTTGAGATGAAATACTAAGACTATTGCAATCTAAAATATTTGTATTGACTTAAAACCTAAGACGCTTCAAAGATTGCATAGAACTAACAAAGAATAACATAGGAATTATTACCGGAATACTTACCAGTCATTATAGATTAAATAATCAACTAACAAAGTTTGGAATCCAATCCAACTTAGACTGCAGATACTGCAGAGAAGAGAGAGAAACCATATTCCATGTGCTAGGGAATTGCTCGGCACTGATGCACAAGTGGAAGAAACACATTGGAGGGTATTTAATGAAACAGAGGGATTCGAAGTTAAACAAGGTTGAGCTTTAACTCTCTTTCATTAAAGAAATCAGATTTTGAGAAATGTTCTTATCCAATTAAGGACCACAATTCATCTTTCAGATCGCAGTGTAGTATAACTTTACTAATAAAAATAATATATATGATAAATTAATTTATAAACAATGGATCAACATTTGAATAGTATAACCTTTGATTAAATTTTAACAATCCGACAAATTAAAGACAAAACTATCAATTTAAACTAAATCTATAACTAATATCAAGTTTACTAAATACAAAATATGGTGACACAGCTATTACTTAATAAAGATTGCAAAGAGTAAGTATGAATTATATCTGCTTTGCCAAAATAGAGCTACTAAGCTCCCACTAAACTCTTAAGTTAATGCAACAGAGAAAAAAAGTATTAAGTTATCCCAGCAACAGTGAGGAAAATTTTAAATAGTTTTCTCTATTTATATATGAAATATATCAACTTAAGATCTTCAATATAACACTGGACGTTTTAGATCTTAACATCGCAGTGTAAGATCGACAAATTAATATTTATTCCATTACACGATAAATTAGCAGGTTTTTAATATTTTCATATTAAATGTTATTACTAAAGCACCTCAAAATCATTTTCCAATAAAAAAGTTCTACGCTTATAAAATTCACATACCTGTAATTTTTAATTATGTTAATATTTTGTAGATTATGATGCTATACAGCACTTTTTTAACATATCTTCAATTTATCATCATGTTATTTGGCGTTACTTATTTACGCCTATAGAATCTCTAATACTCAAGCTTGTACTTACCAATGGAAGATCTTTGTTAATATCTTGTATAGAATTACATAGAATCCACTGAGGAAAAACATTTCTTAAATCCTTAAAAATGTATTCGGTAAAGAAGTATAAAACTCAAAGAAATTATACTAAAAACAAAATTGTAATTTATACCAAATATGTTTTTCATTCCTAATCAATTTAAATCCTTTCAAGAGCACATCTATGAATAAATTATTACTATAATCGTATTAACAATTTATTAACCAAAAACACCAGCGTTTTCCAAAGAACGTTGATTGTTCATTTAGTGTTCCATAAATTCCTAAGAAATATGAAAAATAATTTATTTAAATGAAAGGACAAATAATCTTCATCAGAAGCCATATTACCAACAGCAGTCAATAATGAACTTCATTAATTATTTGTTTCACACAATGCTTACATTTTATCTCATATATTTTCCAAGGATTTTCAAAGGATTTCGATCCTCTGGGTCATGTAGTCACATTAATAAAATGTTGTATTGTTTACCAGAACAATGACTTTAATAATATATCTCATATTAAAACATCTCGTATTATGAATATGGGCGTTACCAAGAAGGGGAGCAGTAGGCGATTTTCATTAATGCAAATAAAATTTTTACCAGCACTAGATTGTTATATTATTTAACCTATTGCATTATTTACTATGTAATAGTTTTATGTCCATGTAATGTTTATATAAAAAGTTAGTTTCTTTCGTCAAATCGGATGTTGAAAATTAATTTAATATGTCAATCAATTTAATATTAACAAGGAATCCAAGGAATCCATCTTAAGAAATGGTAGAAATGAAGATATTTACAAATCATTAAGTTTTTTAATACTTACTCAAGTAAATTTTTGGGCAGCCAATACAGCTGTTTCATAGGCATATTTCCGCCGAAAATCTATTACATTTAGCAAGTGGCGCATTATCCGTTTTTTATTATGACCACACTTTTATATATTATAAATTATTTTATATATTTTTTATATATTTTATTTTATATTACTTCATATTACTGAGCCCAAACGTTTACGGCAGGAATGATAGTTTAGCACTTCCATGTACCCCATTTCGCTACGACCATGATCATATAGATAGAAATGTTTGTAAGTATTAAAATTCTAGTTAAAGCAATTGGTTTAGATGCACTTCTGGTGTACGTTAAAAATACTTTGGGTTTGAATTTATCTCAGTAGGAGCCAGTAAAGCTAAATATGTTCTGAATAATCAACAATTTACGAATAAATTGCTTGGATTATAAATTCAAAACTCAAATGTGCCGGATTGTTATAATGAAAAATTTACAAATGCAACTGCATCCTTTGAAATACAAAACCGTATGCCCTATAATGCAAATATCATTAATGTGCATTTATGATTATGTATAGCAATATTTCACTAAAACATTGAGTTTTGTTCTATTCAAATAATAACGTGATGAAATATTATTATTTTATAGCGCATGAAAATCATTTTGATTGCAATAACCTATAGCAATGCAATCGCAATAAAACCGCGATTTGAAAGTGGTTCAAGAAATATAACATATGAGACTATTAAAATGCAAAAAGGTATCTGTTATTCAATTAAGATATAAGATATTATTTCTGGAGTTTACGACTTAACTATAAATAAATAAAATTAAAATAATAAATTTAGCTGAATTTTTATATATATTGCACTATTATTAATACAGAATCATCAAAAATGATTAAAGTAAAAAATAAGGGAGATATTAGGAAAATATTAATTTATTAAACAAACAATCATAAAAAAAGAAATTAACAACGATCTGTAATCACAGTGAAAGTAGAATATGGATTATAATATCTTTTTTGCCAGCAACTACAAATCCATACTGTACCACTTCAAATCCAATAGAAGACATATCCATATAATACTATTTCAACTTTAATAGAAGACATTCAACCCTATTATGGACTTCCTAACATCATATGTTGTAGGAGCTCTTGATCCTCTTGATCATTGTGAATGTAACTAAAAAAGGTTACTGCTTTCAAGTAAAGTACACATTACATCTCTTCAGACAGATTCAAATATAATCAATATTATATTTTATGGTTTGTTGTTCAGAGAACGTGAACCATTGTGACCCAACAGATAATCTTGTAACAGTCCTCAGCTCTGTCTTTTTATTTATAACACTTTTTAGCTTATTATAAGTTTTATAAAAACTTTTCTATGTTAAAACATAATCACAAATACGTTTTTCCTGTGAATCTTATTTGTAAAATAAAATATTCCCTGGTTAGAAATAAGATACATATAGTGCTTAGCAATGAAATATGGATACAGAAACTTAATAAGAACTGTTCTTTGTTATTTCTTGAATAAAAAAAATTAAGAGCATTAATTAACAACTATATTATATAATTAAAATTATAATATTATAATTATAAATACTGCATTGTTTTGACTCTTTCTCTTAAATATACACCTTACTGTGTTTAGTTCATCAAACTAAGTTCTAGGTCAGTGCTTATAATACATAGTTCATCGCTAAAAACTCTGTGATATTGTTTTAGTTCTGAAGTCTATCTGAAATTCTTTTAAATAATACTTAAAATACGTACTTCACTTCTAAGTAAGTTAAAACCTAATGTACTGAAGACCATCATCAAGTGCAAGCAAGTCCAAAAGGATTAATATAATTTTAATGCCAACTATTTTTAGTTTTTTATGAATAGAATCAATGTACCATAAATTATATGCAATTTAGACAATAAAAACAAATAATATGTAATAATAAAATGTGTTTTATATTGAAATGAGTAAAAAATTAACTAACTTTATAATAAAATGGGTGTACCAACCTAAGCAGGTCAATTGAATGAAAAATATATTATCCTCAATACTTCATATTACTAGAGTATCTAAAATTTTTATCTTTCTCATTCATACATGATGTATGTACAAATACTTCATTCTCCAATAAATTTCAAATTAACATAATTAAAGTTGTTTACCTAACTTGGATTTGCATTCAGTTGTGTGATATATCAACAATGTGATGGCAATATCAGTTATCAATTACACTCCGAATGTCAATTAAATTAATATTAAATAAGTCTGAACAGGTACAAGCGCAATGGTTAAATTTCATTACAATCGCATTAATCAGTACAGGAAAATGCGTCGAGTCACACGCTACATTTTGCGGTTCGTATTTTTCTATCTACGCATAACGGGTCTGATGCCATTCTCTTACAATCCCAAAACTAGAAGAGTACGTACCTCGCGTGCCATCACAATCTACAGCATATTTGCAAACTTGCTATTATTCGCTTTAGTGCCGTTAATCCTATTTCCATATCATCAAAGCACAATGATTGGGAACGCACAATATATCAATCAACTACTCTACTCAGTGACGCTGTTTGTACGGAGTGGAGCTGTTGTAATATCCTTTCTATTTAACTGGCATAGGCGTTGTGAGTTCATATCCGTAATACGTACCTTTAATCGCCTGCATCGCCAATATTTCAGTCGGTTAAAGCTATCACAGGAGAAACAGCAACAATTCGAGAACAGCATAATAAGTAAATTCATATGGATATCACTGACTGAGTTCGGATCATGGGGCTTAACCATGCAAGTGTATATGGGAAAAGGAGATAAAAGTGATGTTGTAGGTATGGCATCAATTTGCGTGTTGACCAGCGTTTTAAATTTAGTCGTCAATGAGTATTATTTTGGCGTATTGAATGTTAATCTGGGCTTTACACTTATAAATGATGAGCTCTTACGTATTATGCATGCTGCACGTAGTGCAAGTAAGAACTGGAAACGATATGGACATGCCGGCGTATATATCACACGCTGCTGTCAACTATCAGATGATATAGATGAGTTAGCGATAGCTCATTATAAATTACGTAAATTAGCATTACGTCTTAACAGAATGTTCAATACGCAGGGTGCTTGTTCGATACTGAATATGTATTTGAATAATGTGGCCACATTCTATACAATTTACAAATTCATACAGTTCAAAACAGCTAATTTGCCATTGGACAGGTGGGGTGTGGTCTTACTCGCCATCATACTTTGTTCCTATTACGCAGATTTGCATAACTTTTTAAAAAATATGATGAATATGCTGGAATTATACACTAAGGGTGCTTTTATTATACGGATGCTTATGCCTTTGCAGTGCATGGACATCAGACTAGAGAGAAGTGTGAGCTATATAACATCAATGTTAATATGAAGATTTTTTTAATATGTTTATTTTTTTTTATAGATTAAAAGCTTTTGTGAGCAAATTGTTAACATACCTTTGCAATATAATATGATGGGAATGACTCGCCTGGACAAACCAATGATATTTGCAATCTTAAGTTCGACATTTTCAAATGCAATCTTAATAATGCAATATGACATCAAGTACTCTAGAATTATTAAATGATTAAACTGTCAAATTGACTGTTAATGATATTATATATCACAACAAAATTTGTTAAAATATTTAAGAAATTCTTAAATATGTAGTTATAAACAAAATAAAATTATTATTTATAACCATATAACTGAAATTATAATTTTAAATAAAACTAGACAGAATTAGAATAATATATTATAAAAAAAATGTTATATTTTTAACATTTTATTGAAAAAAATATTATAAATTATTATTTATTACAATTACACTAAAACTATAATTTTTTGAATATATGTAAAATAGTCGGATTAATAGTCCTAGAATAAAATTCGCAGTAGATTTAAACGTGCATTTAACAAATTTAAAGCGGACTTCCAAATAATGTCCTACTTGTTGTATCTTTATTATAATTTATACAGAAATTAAATTCTAATAACTCTTATTATCTTATTACTGTTAAATAACACAACTTGAAATCAATGTGTGGCTCAAATGACAAAAGATAAATTTTTAATGTTAACTTTTACTTGCCGAGAGTGACGCGTCTTTATGACGAAAAGACACTATTTAAAAGTTAGCCGGATTCAAATAGCAATGAAAAGACAAGAACAAAAATTTTGTTTAATTTATTGAAATTTGGCTGACCATACAACGCCGTTTCGAGTATTACCACGTACACATCATCAGTGGTCTTAGGAAATATTCGAATTCGAATATTAAAATGATTGTATTTCCATACTTTGAAGTTTTCTTTAGGTTTATAAAAATAGAGAAATGACATTAGAGATTGTACTACAAATATAATAAATGTTACACTGAATTTAGCCTTATAAATAAAACAAAAATTATTCTCAAATAAAAAAAAATCTTAAAAAATAAAAGGACATCATTATATAAACACTAAAAAGGTACACAGTAAATTCAAAATATCAATAAATCCAAACAGAACAACTGACTGATCTGTATACACCATCAATAGTTGGTTTTGTATGACAAGAGTAGATCCAATAGCATTAACTGGCCGGTGTGGCAACATTCAAAATTTAAAGTATTAATAAATAATTATATCAAAAACTTCATTTTTTAAAAGAAATAAAAATTCTTATTTTAGTCCAAAAACTTGTAATTAAACTTGAGTTATCTGTCACATAGACAATGTGTTTATAAATTATAATTCATGCAAAAACCAAATAGGAACATTTCATTTATTCGTCAGGTATAGTTTTCTTAAGACTGCTAGTCATCATCATCAAAGTAATCATAACCATCATCATCATCATCATCATCATCATCATCGTCATCATCAACTGATTTGTTATTTTCAGTTAGATATCCTCGCTTTTCCTTTAAAGAACCGCCCTTGTATTTTGAGTCGCTTAAAATTTTTATTTTAGACTTAACTGAAGTAGCTGAGGGTAGAATTTCATCTAACAACAATGTACCAGCAGTACTGGTTGACGGCAATGGCAATAGTAGTGAATTTAATGTGTTGTCGGCACGAGTATCACCTTCATCTGCATTCATACTATCAATATCTGGAAATATTACAATTTTTTTTTCACAGAAAAATAGGTCGCCCGCATCTACATCGACAATGATTGGTACATTATCTTCGTCAACCTCTTCAAATTCAACTTCATTAGTCTCGTCAGTTTTTTCTTCTTTTTTCGCTTCAGAATCATTTTTCGAGTTATTTTCATTACTTCCGGATGACTTGCTTATCCCCCGCGCTTGAATCGCACTACGTGCGATTCGTTGTCCCAGTTTTCTAATGCTAAACATACTCAAAGTTTTACATTTACTTTTTTAACAATTTTGTTCCAGAACGAATTTCGAACCTTTCTTAATATGAGATATAATTTATATAAAATAAAATTTTTTAAATTTTTCATGTTGATTTATATTTCATATATAAAAATTTCAAAGCCCACTTACAGTTTTAAAATCATTATTTAAAATATAATAATATCAAACTAAGTGAATATTAAACTAAGTGACGAACTTTTATCTGACATATACAGGTATTAAGAATACTTAAATATAGGAATATGATTTTTTTATAAATTTTTTTACTTTGCAATTCTTAAAGAAAAAATCAATAAAACTAATTTTTAATTAATACATTCATTAAAAATTTATTTTAAGGTATTTTAACTTAATATTATCATCATTTAAATCATTACATTACAGTTCTGGATGCTTTGAGCAAATATTCAATAATTTGTCGGCCATAACTTGACAGATCAGTACTCTTTACGTAAACCCGTCACAAAGAATTCACTAATAATAATTCACAATTGAAGCAATCGACAAGCTAGATCAGTTGGCTGGCATCACTCTCATCTGGGTTCCTGGACATAGGAACATCGAAGGAAACGAGAAAGCTGACAGCTTATCCAGTTCTGGTGCTTCCCTGGATGTGTCCCTGGTGGTACTAGTTTATGTTACCCTAGAAACCATTAAGAGAAGTACCTTCTTCTGCTTTTTGCATCTTGCCAATAACAGAAGGAAAGCACTTAAATTATGTGCAATTTTCAGGTTAACATGGCCTACCTATAATAAAAATAGGAAATCCTAGGAAATCATCAAAACAGTCTGGGTGAACACTGCAAGGCTTACTGTAGTTATTTTTGTTCATTGGTGTATTGAAACTCAAGCAGAAAATCTGCGCACCCCTCATAATCCGTACTGCAGGAGTTGTGGAAACCCGCAGTAAAAAGAAAACATAATATACCATATATTCTCTGTGAATGTTCGGCTTTGGTGTTCAAAAGATATAGCTTTTAGGAAGATACTTCTTTGATAGTTTATCAGACTGTTCATCGATGAAGACAAAAGACCTATTAAATTATCTAAATTCGGCGTGATGGATTTAGTCCTTACTTTTCTACTAGGGTTCTTGCGAGAAATATGGTAGCAAATGGCTAAAAATCGCTAATTAAAGTACATGGAAGTTATTTAATGGCGTGCTACTGCAACCTACCAACCAACCACAATTTAGATTATTAAAATATAGTTTACGTCCAAAAATCTTCTCACTCAATAAAGTTTAAACAGCACGAGCTATGTTGCTTGTTGTACCGGCTTGTTAAAATCGATTTTGGCGATTAGCTAAAATAAATGGCTTTGATATTTTTCCAAATAATATCTACCAGTTGTTTATGTATTTATTTATTTAATTTTGAGTTAACATTAAAACTAATTTTGAAGTTAACTAAGATTAAGGAAACTGGAACACTAAGTCCTTCGCCCTAGTAATCTGCCAGTTTAAATATTTCATAATAAATAAACTTGTCATTTTTTCTTAACAGGAAATGTTTGATATTTTCTGGTTTCTGTGACTAAAACTGTTTTTCAATTAGAAACTTCTTTGATACCGTAATATTGGAAAAGAAAATCTCTCTTATTATTACATGAAAAATTCAGCATAAGTTGGCAACTCTACTCTTACCAGCGCATTGTTAATTGAAAACAAAAACAAAATGACCTATAAGTCAAACAGCTGACAGCACCACAATCAATATCAATAACATTGACCAGAAGGTATAAGTGATGACGTATAAAAAGTACCATAATTACTACCCATGGACTATTTTCAAGGTCATGTTGACAATTTTCCTAGCCGCAATTAGGAAATTAAAATTTTATCTTAACCTGGAAATGACGTAATTACCTTCTAACCTAAGGCCTGTCGACTGCACAAACTTATTGACATTTCGAGCTAAAGGCAAATACTTGACAAATCTTTGCAACTCGTATCAAGATAGTCCGCAACACGTAATGATAAATAAAATAAAATCAAAATTCCAATGAAAGGAACTCAGCTGATTGAAAGTAATGCAGGAATGGTACAAAAATCAATACACGGAAAAAACAAAACATGGCTAATTGGTACCCAAAATGCGTTCAGTTCACAAGAATGCGTCGTCTGTCACGTTTGGTGTTGCTCTTCTCGTATTATTACTCGCAGTTACTTGGGATTGTACGTTTTGCATACAACATCAAAACAGGAGCAGTTCGCACAACACTCCGTATAACACTCTATAGCATTTGGGCGAATATATCCTTGGTGGTTGTGGTTGTCCTATGGCATAATGAAAAAATCAACACAATTTTGCTGAACTCAAAGTACTTGCACCATCGCATCTACTTCATTATGACGATAATACGCGGTATTACTGTCGTCGTGACGTTAATCTTCAACTGGACACGGCGTTGCAAGTTTATGGAAGTTATTGTGGAGTTTCAGAATTTACGTGTACAGCATTTTACAGATCTGCCGATACGCGATGAACTGCAGCGTCAATTTGAAAAGTGCATCATAACAAAATTTTACCTGAGCATATTTGCAGAAATATCTTTATGGGCGCTATCGCTTGAAACACTTTATAGCATACTGGATTGGAGTCTTGTGCGTAGTGGTTTTTCCATGTTTGTATTAACCAATATACTCACTGTCATGACTTATCATTTTTATTTTGGCATACTCTATGTCAGTCATCATTTTCGCATACTGAATGATGAGTTAGAAATTGTTATGCAAACTGCTTGTATGGTTGGTAGACGTTATCAATGTCAGCGTCGACCAGGTATATATTTTACACAATGCTGCGAACTCGCTGACCGTTTGGACGAACTCGCTGTGGCTCATCGTAAACTTCAGGACTTAACGAATCGAATCCTTAATATGTTTAGCCTACAAGGTATTTGCGTTGTGTTCAACATGTACCTTAACAACATCGGCATGTTCTTTATAGTATATGCGTTATTCAAATCCAATGCTTTTATTCTTAGCATGAGCATTTGGGCCGCTATACTTATGATACTAACAGTTGTCAGTTATTATGCGGATATAAATAAATTTCTCAACGTAATGCTGGATCTACTGCAATATTACCAAGATACGGCCGCGATGCTTAAGTTAAGCACTCCCACACAAGTTTTGGACGTGCGTTTTGAACAAAGTGTCAGTGAGATATTTTTTTTTTTTTTCAATTATATTGAATTATATTTCAAATATATTTTTTTTCTTTAAATTTAGGTGGAACAGTTCTGTTTACAAATAGCACAAAATCCATTAGAAATAAAAATACTCGGGTTATTTCTGTTTGATAAACCAATGGCTTTCGATATATTCGTTTCTACGCTTTTGACTGCAGTATTTGTCATGCAATATGACTACCAATATTTTTAAGTGCAACAATCCTTATTAAATAAATATGATAAGATATTTGTAAAAACTATTAAAAAAAATAAATAATTTAAATTTAAATTTGAAATATTATGGTGTATTATGGTTGAAGGTGCTTTACTGTCAATAAAATAAAAGCGTTCCATATTTAATAAATAAATGACGGGTAAAAAAAAGTCAATAAAAAAATAAACTTTCTTTTAGATTAATAGCCTTTTCGATTGGTAAATCTGAATTTAAATTAGATTTACTCTCTAGATTATAGTACGTTTTCACTAGCTTCGTTAGACCAGTTAACTTACTTCAGATTCAAGTAATTCAAGCAATCTCAAGTAAATTAACTGGCCTAACAAAGCTTAGTCGAACATTTTTAAAGTAATTTAACATTATGGCACTGCGACCGTCGGGACTATTATGCCCCCTTCTGGACTTAGAGTAGGTCTTTAAGCCATGTTGCGTCAATAAAAAAAGTATAGAACCTACTATATAGAGTTTTATTGCCTCTTCCGTAAGAATATACATTCTAGGGGCCTATTTCGTATGGTGTTAGTAGATATTCAAATTTTTTTTGAATACACACTTAAATCCAATCATACTTTATTTGTTAAGTCATATAAAACAACTGTTAATTTGAGGGTAATCTTGCTACTCTGGCAAAATATATAGAGTGTAATAAATAAATCTTATATACATTTCGTTCGACATTTGCCAATCAAAATGCCATACGCTTATTAAGAATTAAACTGAAAATGCGTACAGTATGGTAATCTAAACATGCTTTTATCTACTAATCATAAGTGTTGTTCATTCATATTGGAGAGATATTTTTTTATAAGCCGGTCAGTCCAATAACTTATTTATTCTAATGGTCATCCTCTATTGACAGTCATACTCCTGCTTGTCAGTGCTGGACATTGGACTTCTAAACAGAATCTGCAAGTATGTCTCTCAACAAGAGCAATATTTTTGAGGTGATACTTTAAAAAAGTGATCAAAATTGAATAATCTATATTTAGTTATATATATATATATCTACTAGCTGACCCAGCGAACGTTGTTTCCCCTTGCAATTAATTTTCTTGGCGTTCGTTGGGTTGCTCTTGACTTTCATTAGTACGTGTGATTGTATCCTGGTTTCTTACATTTTCATTGTTTTTTGCCGATCTATTTAACCGACGGTTCTAGAGTAATTGTGAATTCCGACTCCGTCGGCCAATATTTCCTCCTCGTCCACGAAGACGTGGCATTATTTTTTGTACGTTATTTATATCTTTATATATATAATTCTTTTTTTTTGATAATTTAGATTCACAATTTGGTCCACTGGATAACGGTTTTTTAATTATTATGCAGTTTTTTGGTATCCATATACATTTATATTAGACATTTAATGCAACGGCAGTTTTACGATTCATTTTAAAGATTTTAAACTTTTTAAACAAATCAAAGTAAGCATGAATAAATTTTAAATATCTAATATAAATGTGTATGGAACTCAAAAAATAAAAAATTAATTAAAAAGACATTATCCATTGGGCCAAATTGTGAATCTAAACCTTCCTTGAATCCACTTGAACACCCACAAAAAATTTCATCAAAATCGGTTCAGCCGTTTAGGAGGAGTTCACTGTCAACACACGTACAGAAGAATTATATATATAAGATATAATTTATAATTAATAATTTTAAGTATCGAATAACATATAATTTCTAATAATTACGTTAATATGATGTGTTATGATGATGATGTTATTGAATATATAATATATAATGTTATTTATTCAATCAGATTTGATTATTGGTACGTTATCAAGTTATTATTGAGTTTAAATGAAAATTTAAATTTAAATAATAAGTTATTATTCACATTTAAGTTTTTACAGCACATTAATAATAAAAATTAGTATTTTGATGACATATAAAATGGTAATTCAAACACATTAATCATTTCTAATAATTATGAAAAGACTAAATCTGAGGTTTGCTAAAACTTGTCACTAGATGTGAGTGTATCCAACATATCGATAAAGTCGCTTTTTTCATAGAATATATTTTTCTGACCTTTTATTAAGGGTTAAGTGATAACAAATAGGACAATTTATCATATTTTCGGAAACAAATTTAGCAACTACTTATCACATCTTTTCTATCTTTTTATTCATGTGATAGATATGCTTTTATTCTTTTTTTATATATTTTGTTGAAAATCATTTATTTACTGAATTTTATTCAACCTTTCTCTTAAGAAACTAAAGAAAACAGAAAACTTCTGGTCAATATATTAAAGATAAAATATAATGGAATGGAATGGATGGGAGTGGTTCTAGTTTCATTTATTTTTTCTTCCTATACGTCGGTCGTGATATATTTTTGTATTATTTTTATTTTTAGTTTTTATTTTTAAAGTATAACAAAGTTACAAATGGATGGTAATTGTATAAATGACTTAACTAAGTAAAAGGACAACAGAGTATTTGCTTTAATACTAATGTCTATTTTATTATTAGTCTGAAGAATGCACAATGATAGTATTTCACATTAATGTATTTCAAATACAAAAGCTAGATAAATGTAGATATGTGCAGTTTAGATATAGTTCTGTAAACGCAAGTGCCTTTTGTTCAAGCTTTAGTATTGTATAAAGTCTGTTTCTTTGATGAAGTTCAAAATATACAAACATAATACGATAGTCATCAAGATAACTCAATTTTATAGATTAACTTATACATTTTTGATATTATCTGCTTAATTTCTTTAAAATCCAAAAGAAGAAATATCTGATTTTAATTATACGAAAATAATTTGTGATTACAGTGCATTTGAGTACTCATAACATTTTATGATATTTTTATATTTCAAAAATTTCATTTGAATTTTTAATTACATTTATGAAATATACAAAAATAAATCATTTGCAATATTTACTGATATTGAATTAAACATTGCAATTACATTTTTTCAGAAAAGATATGAAAGTATTACAAAATAAATAAAAAATAAGCCTACATGAGCAGATTAATGTATATTTAATTTCATTGTTTTCTTTTAATTAAAGCATTTGACTCGTCTCTGTATTTTTATAGATGATGTATGGTTTTAATAAACGTTATATACAGAGTAAACAAAAATTTAATCTCTGATTATTTCCTTATTTAAAAATTAAAATTTCGTCAATATATTTTATTATGCATTTTAGGTAGCAAAATATTTTGTTTTATTCAAATTTTTTTATTTTATAGAATAAATTAAATAAAAAAAATAATAACTTCGATATATAATTTTTATATAATTAAGTGAGTAGTAAAATATTTTAATATTCAAATAATTTTAAAAAAAATTTTATTAGTCATAAATCTCGTAATCACTGTAGCACTGTAGCTTATATATCCTGCCAACAATATGTCAAATTATTTATCTCTAATATAAATTACTGTATAATGTGACAGTAGAAATATGAAAGACATTCAATGTATTTATTGGTTTTCTATTCGCTAATTTGATTTCATACTTTTCCATAAAATTTTCCGAGAAGAAAACTAATTTAAATTCAGTTTATTCAATACCGCATAATTTTTGAAATGGAACGTGTGTGCACGTACCATTAAAAATCTATTAGACCTCCAAATGGTTAACTCTTTGAATATAAAGTAAATTTTAGTTTATAGGCCATTGCAAAAATTTTTCATATAGGTATTTTGATAAATTTCTGTTGGTCTAAAAAGAACCATATATGCTCTACATTTTTTTAACAAAATTCTAGAAAAAAGTATAAAATCAAATACAATACTATTAATTTCATTAAAATAACTTATAAATATCGAATATAGAAAAACAAACGAACAAATGAAAACTAACATAGGTAAACAAAGAGATAAGTCAGTATAAGTCAGTATAAGTCAGTATAAGTCAGTATGAATGACCCACAAGAAGATGCTTACGACTAAGATCAACATGTACAGTATGATAAACATGAGCACATAGATCAAGACCAAGACTCACATATAGATGGAAATGAGAACGTAGAACAAGATCAAGACGAACTACACGAATAAAATGAGTATGTAGACTAAGATCTAGATTAATATAATAATCAAAATGAAAACGTTAATCGAGATAAAAAAAATAGCAATAGATCAATGGAAATTGTGAGGTGGCGATAAGTCAACACTGAACGTCACCAGCATTAACATACTTTTGTGAGGCTCCTTTGATTTCTCAAAATAAAAAAGGAAATGGTAAATAAGGCCGACTACGTTACCAGTGCCTAGTACCGTCACTGAGAGAGTTTAACTCCATAAAAGAAAATCTAAAAACAAAAATATATTATTTTTAATTAACTGACATCTTGACGATATCTGAGACAGTTGACCCTACAGTTGTTGGAGATATCGCTAAAGATTAACAGTTGTCAACAGTTGTCTTTATTTTAATCTTCAAGTTTACACTAATGAACTGTGCTGAAGAGCTGATGATTTGTTAAAATATATCTATTAATCCCATTCGATATAAATTACACTGAGAAAAAAGCTAATTTATTGCAGAAGGAACAAACTGAAATTATTTTTTACTATTATACTTCGATTTCTACTTCTTTCTTCAAGGGATCCTATATTGTTGTACTTGAACTCATATGCTTACTTAAATCGATAGAAATTATAAAAAGCTTTTAATTATCAGAACAGTCCTTTGTTTAAGAAAAACTCAACCAGTAAGGACTACGATAAAGCGACTATTCTGTAATATTCGAATAGATAGGTAAGTCTAAATGGACTGTCAACTTTGTATATTTAGAAAATAATTCACTCGTGCTATTTTGGCTAGTTATTTACATACATGGGTTGTTAATTTATATCACTGTTTTTTCGTTTCTTGTTTTGGAGTAGGTAGGCACGGAGACTGTGGTGTGTTTGACGACTGCGTCTTTCTCCTCACTGCTCCAACCTCTTAAGTAGTCATTGGATGTAATAAGCATATACAACAATTTATAAGATACTGTCTTACGA